AACGTCGCGTGCGTCCATGTCTACGTCCCCCCCATTTCCGGGCATCATCTCCTCATGATCCTCTCCCTCAGCACCACCCCCATTTCCGCTCATCATCTCCTCGTCATCATCTCCCTCAGCACCACCCCCATTTCTGCTCATCATTTCCTCGTCATCCTCTCCCTCAGCATCCTCCTCTTCACCCTCGCCGCCGCTCCTCATTTCCTTGTCCTCTTCCCCCACACCTCGCTCGTCGTCGTCATCTGTGCCCCTCACACCATCGTGACCTCCGCTAAATGTACCCATCATCTCATCGTCATCAGAAGGCGGGTCCGAATCCGGAAGGTAATCGTCTCCCGCCCGTTTCCCATCGGAGCGCACCATACCTTCCCCAACGTCCGGCCTCTCCACTTGTTCCATCTCGTCGTCATTAAAGATGACGGTCTCGCCATCAGCGTCGTGCTCCGACCTCAAACGCTGTTTCTCATCCCGCCTCGCCTGCTGTTCCTCAGCCTCTTTCACCGCCTGTTTCTCCTCCTGGGTCCGCTTCTTGGCATTTTTCCTCTTCGCCTTCCTCGCGCGATCCCTCAACTCTTTCTCCTGCTGCATCTCGTCCTCGGTCGCCTCTCCATCCGATAGAGGATCATCGTCCAAGCCGTCGTTCTTTTCTCTGACCTTGACCCATTTTGTCCATTGAAACTTGTGGGTGACGGTTTGCAATACGCAGGGGCCGGGGAGCTTCTGTGGGTGGCTTGCGTGGGACGTCTGCGCCGTATACCAAAAGCCCCTGTAGTCGTACTTGGGTAATGGTTCCCACTCGACATCCTTCTGCAACAGGTCGGAGAACACGTCTTCACCGTAGGCCACTGCTTCTTCGATCTGGGACAACCATAACTGGACCAGAAGTGCAACATAATCTCCCAGAAAATCGCGAATGTCTTCCACCAACCAGTATCGCAGGCAGTGGACCGGGATTTCTCCGTGAACCTTTTTGTCGAGCCGAACCCGCTCAGCCATGACGGCCAGAGCGAAATGACAGAGTTGTGCGATAGGAAAACGTACGCGGTACGGGAGCCACCCGAGTTCGTTGACAACGGCCTCCGTCTCCAGACTTCCAATCCGTGGAGGCTTACTGTGACGCGAACGGTCGCGAATGACGGGGGTGGCATCTGCAGATGCAAACAGGATGTACCGTGCGAAGGCCCGTCCAAATGCCCTCATAGAGTGCTTGTGATCGGCGCCGAAGGCGAACTCATCTTTCCAGTTCTCGCGCAAGGCCGGTGTTGCTTCGTTTTCGTCACCGTCGGTCTCCTTTTCACCCCCATCGTTGTCGCGTCGGGCTGACTGGAAATATGACCGGTAATCCAGGGTTCGCCAAAAGACCGCGATACAGCCAAGGAGATGCCGCACGCCACGATCGGGGTGTAAAAATACGCGAGCTGGACGACCACCAGGGTACGAGGATGAGTGGGATGTCAGCCAGTGAGAAGGAAGGACACTCACCAGGATGTCGAGGCAATTGATACTGCAATAGATTGAACCAAAAATTGAAACTGGCCAGCTGAGGCAGAAGCTCTGGGTGCGACGTGTTGGTGATCATGTTGTCCGCCAATAACGCGTGAACGGCACCACAACAACTGGCCTTCAATGTTGCAGAGGCGTAGAAGTGGGCGCCGGAGACGATCGACTCCTCACTGGTTAGTACGTAGTGTGGCGTGCACGGCCTCATGAAGCTCGGAAATAACGATGTCAGGCCAACCGCGCTGTCGGCACAAAAATGTATAGGACTTACAAAGCAGTGAATTTGCCCAAAGAGACTGCCTCCCATCTGTACCGTTCGTCGATGTGGTATTCTTTGAAGTCACGGAAGAGACCCGTCCGCGTCTCCGAAAGCTCCTCAGCAAACTCGGGACGTGGGTGCGCCACGGCCCACCACTTTTCTCCGGTGAGAGGCAAAGAGACGGTAGCCAGACCTGTTGTATCAACGTGGACACGAGAGACCACGTTGGGACTGCTCATTATCGCCCAGGAGAGATGGCCGTTAGGTACTTCTGTGGGCATTCTCTCGTAAACGGAGTCGTATGCCTCCATAGCGGTCCGGTCGTTAGCGAGGTCCCTAAATTTCGGTTTAGTCTAGTCTTGACGCTACGTTAAACACGTACTCACAAAAAGCGTGGCGGGTGTTCTAGCATCGTCCTGGGTTTCAAACAACTCAGGGCATTCAGGCTCAAGCCGTTCGCTTCTTTGTGCGTGTCCTCCTTCCGCTTGGGAGGGACGGTCTCATAGACGGTCTTGGAGCTGTACCAGGTGTGTGTTTGTCTACGCAGCCGTCCCTGTCGATCTCTGTTTTCCATGCCTGCCCAGAAATCAGTGAGAAGGCGCGTTGCGCAACGAGAAAGAACGCACTCTGGATTTGCAACCACGCAAGGATAGAGTTCACGCGATCGATGCAGAATAACGACCAATCCCAAACGTGACTGTGAGGGACCTCGTAGACGAGGATGTGTCGCTGGCTGAAGACGGCCTGAATCTCCTCACATGGTAATTGGAGATATTCAGACCATGGAGTCACGAATATGCAGGATTGTAATGGCTCCGAGGGGTCATATTCGGTCGAGTTTCTGCGAGAGTATGGATGAAGGTGCAACGGCTTCGGTACACCGCTGTGGTCCCAGTCCACAATGCTCCCCGTCACTGGATGGTTCAGTGAGTCCCATAGTTGCTTCCAAATGTACACCTCCATGCGTGCCTGGTCAGACAACTGAGTTTAGCGAGGGCCTTCCTCAAATGTGTATTGAACGTACGCAAGAAGGATGGGGAATGAACTCGATCAGCTCGCCGTCTGTGACCTTGTCGACGCGGAACCTTTTGTAATAGTACGGTCCAGGTTCGGGTGGCGGAATGAAGTCTTCCTCGTCTTCGCTTGGCTCACGAGTTAGCCGCTGGGTGTGGATGATTAGCATGAGTGCATACCCGTGTGGTAGGGAAAACTTACTATCCGTTTGCTCGGCCAAGGCCTGGGATCCGGACTGAACTCGTGTTCGCCTTGCTCTGCTGTCCCAGAAGTAGCGCCCTGCATGGAAAATCGTGGTGAGCACATAATGTCGGTAGGCTGCCGAGCGTGAAAAGGGACAGCCATTACCTTGCGTGCGCGCTTCGCCGAAGTTGCATGTCCTGCAGTGCCACCCGTTATCTCTCGGTAATTGGGGCGGGCGACGTTGCGGCTGGGGTAGCGTGGTTCTTTGTCGATGTCAGGTTCTGCGTCCCGCTCTTCACCTAAAACAGATCACTCAGCTCCCGGCCCACAAACACAACAGGCTCATCTTACCGCGCATATCATCGAGGATCGCCCCAGTTGTATCCGCTGGAGCCACGGATACATGGTCTGACCCGTACATGGTCAGGCACCACATGAATATTGGAAGGACAGGGACGTACTTGCGAGCCAAGTGAGCTGAGGGATACGTAGTGATGCTTCCAGGTCCATGGGCACGGAGGTGGCGCGTATGCGATCGGTGTCACGCTCTAGGTCCGATTGTACGCCTAGAACAGTTGGGTCAACCCGTGAAGCTGACACAGTAAGGGCGGATATTACCCGAGGGATCATCGATGTCTGCGGCGGTTTCGTGGCCCGCAAACGTCACGGCAGGGTGTTACCGATATGTGGTCAGGTGCGGTATGTACAATGGAAGCACAGAGACGAACCTGGGTGCCAAGGTGGGTAAGAACGAGCTGTCATAGCCTTAAGGTTGACAGGGATCCAATCTGTCCGACGACGATCCACGGATACTTGCAGGTCTAGGGGCACCGACATATGGCGGTCGTAGGGAACACAGTCGGATCCTGTGTGAACGGCGTGCTGTGGACTCGAGGTAACGCGCTCGCCGACTCTGTCTGCGGAGGCTCTTGGGACATCCAAATGCGGACCTAGCGTACCATCTTTTCCCCCTCCAGTTTGGAGCTGGCCCGGACGAGCATGATCTGTTCCTGCCTGAGCCTTCTCCTGGTCTGCAGTCTTGGGCACCACTCCGGCAGCATTGGGGGGCGCCTCAGAAGCACCTTGTATTGGAAGGGACGGACATGAGCGAGCGACGACCATCCCTTTCTGAACACATGCTTACCAAGTGGATTTACACTCGCGCCTTGAGATGTGGAGGAAGCCGCTGTTGGCGCGCCTTGTACCGTGACACCAGCTTCAGGTGTCTCTGCATGCTGATGCGAGGAGAAACCTGATAACAACGATAGGTGACGTCAGCAGCATACTTCGACAGCACATCCAATCGAGTGTGAACTTCACCTGAGTCTCCTCCAATGTCTAGTTCCACAACACGATTACTGTATCCTTCTCCGCTCGCCTTTGAACTTTGAGCTGGGAGCGCCGTATTGGAGACCGCGACCGAGGAAGTGGCAGGCTGCGCAGGCCGCATTTCCGGGGAAAGCGAGATCCATTGCGCAATCTCTGGTGCAATTCATCGCAAACCCGATTAGCGGTATGATTACCATGCTCCATAATGCACACTCACGAGCATCCATGCGCCGGCTGTGTTCCGTTTCTGGACCAATCTTTTCATTGAGAGCAGTAAATGCAGAGGCCGGTGTAACTCACCTCTCACATGCTCCGCCACTGGGAAAGGCCGAAATCCGATCCAAAGCTGTTCTTCTGCTGCGTGTGTCACGCAGTCCAGCAAGGGGTCAGAGGGGTCCGTGTCGAGTTTTGAAGCCCTGGCGGCGGACTTCAACTCCAAATCGAATCGCCTATGCAGCTGGGCGGCTCGACGGCATAATTGGCGCCGAGTTGAATCTTCTTCACGCTTCATGGTGCACACGAGATAGCGCATGAGGTGAACGATCCCCGTGTACTGATAACTTATTTCAGGACAAAAGCGTTGAAGAAAATGTGATAATAATGAAAGGCTGACCCAAAGAGCCCACGCCAGGGCCCGACTCGAATAGTCATCATCGAACACAATCTCTTCGAGTTGTTGGAACATGGCGTCCGCGACAATATCATCCTGAGTGAATAGGGCGAATGGTCAGGTCACCTTTTTAGAACCACGGATGGTCAATCACTCGTACCACTGCCTGCTGGGCATCCAAGCCCCGATATTTTTGGTGGAGCGACCCCAACAATATGTTCTTAATGTCGAACAATTTCTGCACCACCGAGTGCTCGTGAAAGACTGTAGTAAGTGATGAGTGTGGCAGTTCGGCGCGGTTCACAAATGTTGCATACTAGGCAGTACACCAGAGGTAGGCCCTATGTAAAGTTTCGGGCTACCCGACGGGAGTGGGTAGGGTTCTCCCCTGAAGGTTAGAGAATACGCTTCGTCATCTGAACGCACAAGACATCAGTTCTGAGTCAGCGCGAAGAAAACTTTAGATAGTCCGAGCCTCACCGATAACGGGAGCGGGATGGGACATGGGCACCGAGGGGTGCACCGTCGCACTGATACGCGGCTCCGGGGGATTATTTGGTTGGATGTTAGGATGTTGGTTCAGGTCGCTAGTGATCCCTGGGGGTGGCACGTTCGTGGGAGGCCCAACTGGCACGGGGGCATCTGCAGTATTGCCAGGCAAGCGATTCGGGGCCACACAATTATATTGAACGATGTGCCACAAGAAATGATGTTGCTCGCTCGTACCTTGCATGACCACGTCTCCATCGAGATCCTGACCATCAGCGACCAGATGTTGGGTTTGAGTTTCAGCGCATGGGTTCGACACGATGGGCGCATTCGGAGCGGACCTCCCTGTAGCCTCTTTCTCGCGGGCCTCTTTCAATATAGCAGCCAGACGCGTCACACGATCTGGATAATATTCGCGGCCCTGGTATTCCACCATTCTGAAGTTGATGGCGTCTGCACCCTCCTGAACAATCGGGCATTCGTTTGGCGGATGTGATGGAGCCTGCTCGCAAATCCAGCAGACCTTGGCGAGTGGCTGGGACTGAGGGAGAGAGGAATTGCCGGCGGGTGGCACCGAGGCAGCGGAAAGACCGTGAGAATTCTTCAGCGAACTCGAAACGGGCACGGTGGAGGAGAGATTGTCGCCCGAGGAAGGACGCGTGATGGAAGACGGAAGAGAAGATATGGCACCAGCAGGATTAGAAGCCGATACGGCGTCTGAAGGATTGTTGCGGCTAGAGGAAGTGGCAACGGTAGAGGTAGAGGAGACAGGCAAACAAGGGGCAGATGCCGAGGGCGCGGGAGCAGGCAAATTCAACCCCGTGACGTTAGGACCGGATGTGGTGGGTGCCACCGCGGTAGAAGAAATGGCACAAGGCTTGTTGGGCGAACGGGAAGCAAGGACGGAAGGGGAAGAAGGGATGTGGGCCGAGGAAGCAGACGGGATGGAAGCGGGAGCAGAGGAGATCGGGCCTGACGGAATGCGTGCAGATGCAGAGGGAGCGGGGGCTGGCAGTTTGGACTCCACGACACCAGTACCAGATGTGGCGGGTGGCACCGATGCAGAAGACATGGCGTCAGGCTTCTTGGGGGAACTCTTAAATGGAAGGGAATTGGTGGTCGTGCCCTGTTTTTCCGCCGAGTCGGTTGGTGGGTTGTGGGTGGCGATCGTTTCGGATGGGGGTGCTCTGGACATCGTTGCATTCGGGGGTGTAGGCGAAGTCGGAACTGCCTGAGGGACATTTTTCTTTGGTTGAATGTCGTCTGCGGCCTCCTGCTTAACAGATTGCATGCCTTTAAAAATCTCATACAGCCGCTTGTCAGCATCTGGATCTCCGGCCTGACGCATTTCAAATCCGGAATTCACGCGTTCCAACCAGCCAACGAACTCCGGGTCGTGAGAAGGTGGCACCGTGTCTTCCTCCGCCTCGTCTGGTCCGTCTTCAAGCGGAGAGCCGTCTGGGCGATCACCCTGTTGTTTGCCTTTCTGGCGGTCCTCGACCTCTTCGCTCTCAGATGTTACGGGGACTGTAATACGAATCAGCTGGGGTAGTGTTGCGGTCAATGCCTCCTAACTCACTGTTGAAGTCTTTGAACCAAGTGCTCGCGTCGATGTCGCGAGGGTGATTGTGCCGCAGCCAAGCCGAGCACCATGTCGCGTGAAGTTCGGCGAAAGCATCGTCTACACGTCCCCCCAGATAGACCATGAGAACCGCGCGCCACACAGCGTCCTCCATGAATTGGACCAGCGGTGGCTTCCACGGGTTGCCCAACACAACCCTGAGCTACACATGTGGGTGTGTGGTCAGCGATCACGTCAACGCATTCACATGATGGTACTGACAGAGAACAGGACCAGCCAGCTCGCACGATTGTTAGTTGTACAGGCGGCTGGGCCCAGCAGTAGCAGAGGCGAGACGTGCAGGGCGACCAGCAAAGTCTGGAGGATCATGTCGGGACCGCGGTTGTCGAGGAACGTCTGAGGATCCCATTTTTGATCTGGATCGTCCCGAATGAGTTCGTACCGTCTGTAAACGAATGGATTAACAGGCCGACATTGTTCGATTTGGGACCAGAACTCACTTAGCCAGAGCCTCTTTCACGGCGGATGCAGACTGTTCACTATCCAGATCTCCCTGTGATATGAGATAAATATGGGGTTATTGTGATGCAAGATCGTATGGGGGACTCACATGAAGCAAGAGCGACAGAGCCGTTGCTGCGAGAGAGATGTTGTTCAGTGCATTGGGGATCATAAGGCTCTTGTCTCTCTTCCAGATGTCGTGCAGGATGTGGGTGTCGCGAGATGCGCGTGAGGCCAACGATCCGTGAGGGGAGATCTTGAGGATTGATTGGGTTATAGTATGCGCCTCTGGGTCAAAAAATTCGAAGATGGGGGCAGGCGTATGCACAATCAAGGCATGATGGGACGTCCCAGTGGCGCCGTCAGCATTGGCGGGGCGGACGGAGTTATACGGTTCTGTCGGCTTCGTGACTGGCGAATGTTGAGTGCTGAACCACGAGGCATTTTGAACCTGTTTAGATGGTGCGTAGCATGTGCTGGGGGCGGTGTCACTGTTCTGGGGGAACATTTCGTCAAGCCGCGCTATCCAACTGGTCAAGAAAGTGAAGAGCTGCGACGACGAAATGAGCTCCCCGCAAAGCGTTTTTGTATAGGTTTTTGAATCCTTACCGGTTTCACACCCTCCCTCTGCAGCAGCTTGTTGAGTTCGGGCTTCTTGACGGGGACAGAGTGAGGTTGGTTCTTGCGAAAGCCGGCATGGTACGCGATAAGGTCGAAGAGCATGTGACCCCAGAATATACGTGCCATCCGGTTGTAGGATTGCGGGGAGCAATTCATATACACGTCCGTTGGAGTCGCAGGGATCGATTGCGAGAGCCCCAACGTAAGCCATGAGGTGTACCGGCTGGTTTTAGTACGGAAGATACCGTCTGTGTCCCACTCGTCCAACTGTCGGGCAACAGACTGGAAATAATGCATATGGGAAGAGAATCATGGTAGAATATAGGAGGAAACTCACTTCGGCGATAGTAGGTTCATCTGAAACGCTGTCGTCGGAGAAGGACTACGGGGCATTGTTTCAGCCATCACGAATGCAGCATGGGGTGAGTGAGATGAAGAAAGATATACGTTATCTGCGCCTCCTTGGGGTGTCATCCATTCCAGTAAAGAGCCATCTGACTGTATCGCGTCTGTGAGCATAGGTATGGCTTGGAGAACGGCCATGTTAGCTCGGAGGTTTTTTCTGGGAGAGGATTGGTCTGCCTCCATGATCTCTTTTTGGAGACCCTTGTTGGCCTCCAATATTTTGTTGTTCCAGGTCATAGCAAGGTTTCGGGAGTCACAGAAGAGAAAGTAGTTACGCTAGAACAGAAACGGAGAGGTTCAAGGAAGCGGTGAAGTTTGACGACGCGAATGGAAGGTGCCGGGCCGGTGAAGTTCCATAAGCCCGCCGCCAGGCCTGGCCGGCGGTTGCCGAGCGTGGTCGTTCCATCGGCGCCCTGCGACTGTGGATTTGGCGGCCAGGCTTATTTGGTGTTGGCAGCCAAGGCAACGAGCTATTGAATGATTTCCAGGTAAGATTTGAGGCAAGAGGTGACGGGGAGAGCCTGTACAACTTGACAACTTGACCCAGGAGACGGCCGATTGACAGAAACCCGCAATGGTGATCATGGCAATGAAACCAAAATACATCTTCGAAAGGTTAGAGAGTTAGAAATGTTATTGAGACACCCGAGAGTTACTACGATCCTGAACTATGGGGGAATGCGTGGCGGTGCGGCAGTTTCACAGGACGGGGCCCGCACAAACGCAGTGCAAGCCCGTTCACCAGCCAACACCAATGGGTTGGATTACATATTGGTGGTACAACAGGGGTAACAGGCTTTTGGGATATCGCAACCTGGTTGAGGACAAAGTGCCATACAATGGGAGATGATTTTTCATGCTCGATTGAATGCGTGTTCCGGACATGATTCGTAAGCTAGGGCAAAAAGCGTCCAGACAACTGTATAAACATTTGGTATCAGTTCCCCGTACAAGGCAAGTCCTTGGTTGGGTGGGTGGAATGAGGTGTCCATACCTCGCACGCCTGGAGCTTCGTGCCCTATCCGAGCTTTCACAGCCTACGTGTGCGCCACACACATTCCTCCTCATTTCACGGTTCGCACTGACAACGTTTGTTGACGGTCAAGAAAGGTGAATGCATTCGATTGGGCCCGGGGACAAACCGGGAGTGCGGACGCGGGCCGAATGTGGGGTTGGGCGTGCGGTGTGGTGGTAGCCGGCTCACGATAGGATGATGGTGACTTGTGTGGCAGACAAGGTATGCACGGAGAGAGAGACATCAACGTAGCTGGATTGACTGACAAAGGCTAGCAACACTTGGATGACCTCAGTCGCAGCACTGGCTAGCACAATGGATGAACGATCTAAGCGATGGAAGATATACGAGTGGAAAACAAAGGGGCTGAGTGGGAGCGATGAGAGGGCCGGCATGCCAGGATATTGTCGCCAACGCAAGGGTTGACGCAGGTGTTGAATGTTGAACAGTAGAACGTTGTGGGTATGATGACGATACCGAGCGACAGGGTGATAAGTAGAACAGCCCAGAGATCATAAGCGAGCAGGAGTGAAGCACGTTCTGCGCCAAACAACCGGAGCATGAGGACCGGAGACTGAATCATCGTGGCCCCACTTCATTTGAAATGCCTGCGACCGGGCCTGGTCGGGGTTAGCCGGGGAGCGCAGCGCGGGCTTCTGAAAACAGAAACTATAGAGGCGGTCTTGTTTCACCTCGTTTCAATCCTTGCTTGAACAATGACGGTCGGGTTGAACGCACATAACAGAAGACAGATGGTGATTTTTACACCGCATACAGACACAATGCATAAAGACTGATGTGCCTCGCCCAATTACACAAGTGTGTCTACCTCCTGCCCATCGCACTCGGAATCACTGATCTCTACGACTGCCGTCGATGAAGAGCCTTGCACGACTGCCGTCGATGAAGAGCCTTGCACGAATTCCTCATGGTCAGAGATGGGCACATACGGATTCGCGGGACTACCCTGTGCTCGAGAGGGACCCTTCCCCTTGTCAAGTTGCCTACGCTTAACACTTGGCCCTTCCTGTCTCACATCTCGTGCGAGCTCGCTCTGACTGTCAGAGTCAGATATCTCGATGACATCGATGTCAGAGGTATCCCACTAATGGGGCACACAACCGTCAGAGGTGCTTGTGTTTCACTAAGAGTTCTGAGTACATACGCTGCGCTGCACCTGTTTGCCTTTCCCTTTGTCCCGCTGGACCTGGCCGGGGCCCCTTGTGAGAAACAGGACGGGTATGCAGACAGCAATGACAACACGTACCGTTTGCTTAGCGTAAGGACCGTCAGAGTCAGATATCTCGATAACATCGATGTCAGATGTATCCGGCATGCGCTAATGGGGCACACAACCATCAGAGGTGCTTGTGTTTTACGAAGAGTTGTGAGTACACACGCGGCGTTTCACTTCTTTCCCTTTACCTTTACCTTTGCCCCGCTGGTCCTGGGCCGGAGACCCTTGTGAGAAACATGACGGGTATGCCAATAACAATGACAACACGTACCC